CGCTGAAATGACGCTGCTTTAGGGCCAGTGTGATAACGTCCATGGACAGTGCTCAATTTCTGCTGCTGCAATGTGCCAGCTTTGTTTTGCTCCACTTTGCTCTGCTTTTAGGAGTAATGCTGCATAATTACATTGTGATAATTTTTGAGAGTCTCAAAACATTTTATATTGTTACTAGAGAATGTGAACACTACCACCTGGAGCTTATTGACTGGAGTTTACTGACTGTTTCGTACTTGTTAAAGGTGACAGAGATGCAGCTCAGCTGATGCTCAAGACATATGTGTTTTCCTGGGTAGAGAGATCTGTTCAGGCTTAGCAGGCTGTCCTTTGTCTGCTCAACTGATGTTGACCTTTTGGCCTCTTCCAGGTTGCTGTGGTCACTTTGCCCACTTCTTTTCAAGTTTATCTCAGCCTCTAAGGAGAAGAAGACATTCTGGCTTTTTATGAAGAATTGAGGGAGGGAAAGGCAAAGCTTCTTTTCTTTTCAGCCTAGCTAGTTACTTAAAATTGCAATTTGTCTCACCTTTCTATTTCAACACATTTCTCTTTGGAAAGATGAATTTTCTTCCTGAAGTAAAGACATCAGAATTGGTGTGATTCGATTGCAGGGGAAAACTTGCTCATTAACTAAGCTAATGTTTCACAGAGCTGAATTTATGAGGAAAATGCATTGGTCTGTATGCTAACTTTGTTGACACTAATTTGCTCATTACTAATTTCAATATTTTTTTGTTTTTTGCCCACTCCTCAGCTGAAAAAGGTTCCAAAGTGGCTTAAATAATATAACAACAACAACATTAATAAACAAGACTGGTGGCTCATAATCTAAAAATCACAATACAAAAGGGGGAAAAAGAGGGGAGGAAGAGGATCAAGGATTTTTCTTAAGTACATTGAACAATGTAGAATTGTCTGTGCGCAGAGTATCCTCTTGGATGTTATGTGAACTGCACTTTCTATAACCAAGGTTTCAGAATTAACTGTTCCTGACCTGAATCTTAAAAGATGATATTAGCAGTTGGAGCAGTACCTAGGAATCCTAGGTTAAGATTTAAGAATTATTTCTTTTTTCTTGTTCTAAATACAATTGGACGTTTTCACACGGGGCTTTAGACGGAGGCAATCCTGCCTCCGTCCGGCCCCACTCCGGCTCCTTTGTAAAATTGTTCACACGATGTCGCAGCAAGCCCCTCCTCATCCAGCGCCATCCCTGCGCCATCCCTGCCTCACTCGGGGGTCTTGCTCATCGTGTTCATACGACGTCGCAGCAAGCCCCGCCCCATCTTGCGCAATCCCTGTGCCATCCCTGCCGCTAGCCGGCTTTAGCCCCATCTTTCTAATTCCTTTTTAAAAAAGGAATTAGAGGGGCTGCTGCCAGAGGCAATCAGGATCCATTCCAGCGGCTGCTGTTTTCACCGCCGGAATGGCTCTTGATTGCTTCCAGGGGGCTTCCAGGCGGCTTTAGAGCTGCCCGTGTGAAAACGTCCAATTGTTAGTCCCAACTAAAGGTGATAAACTGAATCACTGTAATGTAGGAGCTTATCACTTGGCTTTTTAAACCGGTTTACCTCTATCTGGCTTAATCTTAATTTGGGCGGCATCCTGATCTTATCAGACATTTTTTTGCCCCTGAATTTGCTGCCTGAATACAGCTGGGGTGCATCCCTGCTTCCAGGAGTGCTCCTCATGGCTCTTTTTGGATCTGGAGTTTTCCGGCTTAAGAAAATGGCCATAAGGAGTGGCTCTGGAAGCAGGGATGGACCCAGGCTGTATTCAGGCAGCAAATTCAGTGGCAAAAAATATCTGATAGGATCAGGGTACTGCCCGAATTAAGCCAGATAGAGGTAAACTGGTTTAAAAAGCCAAGCAATAAGCTCCTACGTACATAAGTGCTCACTTTCTTAAATCTACTAATGTAATGGTTAACATTACACTGCCCACATGGTGCAAGAATAGTCAAAATCCCACATGGGGAGATGAAGTATAAAGTCCCATCCAGATGAAACTACACTATGTTTTCCGTCTCCTCTGCTTCAGGACTCATGTATAGCCTGCAGCCCCCATCCCATCCAGGCTGTTTAGTGAACAGCAGAGCACAGATGTGTCAGAGGAGCATCTAACTCTGTAGCTGAGCACGCAACAATAAAGGCATCCTCCAGGACCTCCAGATGTCATTGAGGATACCTTTGTCATTGTGCATCTGACAACAGAGACATAGCCAGATGCTTTTCCACTGAACAATAAATAGTAATTTTGGGCAGGTGCAGGCAACAGGTGAGCTTTGAGGAGGTGGGGTAAGAAGGAGCTTAATTTTGCTCTCCCTGCAATAACAGAGAGAGAGAGAGAGAGAGAGAGAGAGAGAGAGAGAGAGGTGGAAAAAAGATGTACACTAGAATTGCTACTGTTATATTCCACAAAGAGGATGCCAGCCATCTTTGCCTACCAGCCAGATAATCCATTGGTCAATTTCTCATATTCCTATGCAGCACAGAGTCTGATTCACAGATGTCTGTGAAGACATGCCTACATATTTCTTTCATATATTCATTTATTTCCATAGAGGAACACATGTAAAACAACTTGCTCCATTTCATTAAACCAGGTAGTGTTGTTGCAAAATTAGTTTACATATACACATATAGTGTGGTGTAGTGATGTGCATGTTGGATTATGACTCTGGAGACCAGGGTTCGATTCCCAGCTTGGTCATGAAAGTCATTGGCTGACCTTGGGCAAGTCACATACTCTCAGCCTCAGGGGATGGCAATGGCAAACCTCCTCTGAACAAATCTTGACAAGAAAACTCCATGAGAGGTTCACCTTAGGGTCTCCATAAGTTGAAAATGACTTGAACGCATTCAACAACAACAAACAACAACATATATATTTCACAACTAGTGTATTTGAAAGCTAGTTTTTGCAACAAAAGACTACCTGGATATATGGATATATATATATCTGGGATAAAGTAAGATAGACTCTCAAGGAAGGGTGAAGGGAATCCAGTCCTAAATATATAGAATTGATGTCATGTGTGTGTCTGTGTGTGTGTGAATTTTCTACATGTACACACAAACACATATACACATTTCTGTTAAATCCATCTCAGGATTTACCCAGAGTGGCAGGGGCTTTACAGACAGCCACTAAGGGGCAGCATCCCACTGCCCCTTTCCTTGCCGGATCGGCAACCACACACTGCAGCCCCGATCTGGCACTTTGCCGCTCCAAAAAGAGCTGGCAAATACTTCCCCTTTTTAGAGCAGCAAAAAACCACCCTTGCTGTTGTTGTGGTGGCTTTTCCAGCCTCCATTGGTGCAGCATGTCTGAATGCTGCACCAAGGGAGTGCCCTGACTCCACCCGCTATGCAGTGGGGCACACGGCGTGATGGCAGCATTGGGGCAGAGTCAGGGCAGCTGGCATGTATTTGCCATGCCCAATTCCACCCCTAGGCCAGCCCTTTTGGCCAATCTGTATTCCCCTTAAGTAAATCAAGTCCCTTGAGAGTGGAAGTGGGAATCATGTGGATTTCTTCATGTCCCTGGACTGCAACTCCCAGTCTTCTTCACCATCCACTTTGCTGGCTAGAACTACTGGGAATTGGAGTCCAGCAACATCTTCAAGACTATATGATTCCTAAGCCTGTTCTAAAGTGTTATCAAAATGCCAATTACCCAGTAAAATAGTATCATTCTACTTCATTTGACACCACATTGTGATCCTTACTGTTTGACACCCTATATAAGGAAAATCTACAAATGAAGAAAACATGTTGCCTTAGCAACAGAAACTCTTTGTGAAAGTTCTGAGAAAGACAGCTCATTGTCAATACAATGTTGTTAGAACATATTCTTAAAACAATTGTGCTAGCTATGCTCAAGCAGAGAAAACTGTTTTGTATTGAAGTCCCTGCAAAATAACTCTGCTGAACTTTATATAATTTACTAAAATAAATCCATTGTACATTTCCACTCCTTCCTCAGAGAAACTATATTTGAATTATGTAAAATTTTGTATTTTAAAAAGGATGTATTCAGAGACCTCAAACTGAAGCATTTCAGCAACATTTGATTTCTGTAAACATCAGCTTGTATCTGAGTTTAGTAGACAATGTACAAATAGAAAAAAAATCTTGGTTTAAACAACATAAATCACATCTAACATATATGAAGATAATTGGTTAATAAAAATATAAGGAGATTTACTCAATTCTCTTTCTTTGATATATTCCAGATAGGGCATTTCTTGAATATTTTGAAGTGATCAATTTATTTTCTGCATTCTGATTGGTCCAATAAAGGTATCACTTTTTGTGGAATTTTTGATGTTATTGTATCTTTTTGTAGTAATGTCTAATTGCTCAAAAACTTATTATTATTATTATTAGTAGTAGTACAGGATCTATCTTCCTTTCATTCCCTTCCCTTCCCAGAAAAGGAACTGTGGAGTGATTTACTTCTTTCACAATTTTATGGAAAACGGGGTCCAAAGAGATGTATAAGCATCTTTGGATCACATGCATTTTCTTTCTCTCCCTGAGATGAATTTTCAAAAGAACTCTCCTTCTTCCCCATATCTCTGAAGTGTTCTTTGAATTCCTCCAAGTTCAAATAGGTTAGGCCAAAGATCCTTTGAAAGAGGAAAAGGCTGGACCATGAGTGCAATTTCTTCTTTCAGACTTCATTTTTTAAGAGCTCTTGAACTTAATTGGCTAACTTGGAGGAGTTCAAAGAAAGTTTTGGAAGTGCGGAGGGTTTTTTTCTTTTTGAAAATACACCTCAGGGGGAAAAAAAGTAACAGGTGTAGACATGGACACACAAGATGCCCTTTTAGATTCCAGCCATGACAAGGAAGCAAGTTTCACTCAAGCATTTTTCCTCCTCCATGCCATCCTTCTTTCTCCTTTTTTAGCTAGAAAAACTACCTTCTGACTATTTGCTCTTTTTTTTCCTTTTAAAAAAAGTAGCTTTCATCAACCTCTCTTCTCTTCATTGTGTTAAGATCCCTGTTATCAGTAAGGACTTGAAAATGCAAGTCAATTTTCTCAGCTTTAATCATGTGCTTCATCTCCCATCTGCTCTAGAATGCTTGGAACATGATGAAAACTTCCTTGGCTTAAATTGGCTTAATTTATTTTGCGGTCATAGAGCAACTCCATTATTATTTCATATTGCCATGGACAATAAATAATGTGTCATTTTCGTGCCTTCCTTGCTGCCTTTGATAAACAGTGAAATACAAATGTTAGTTCCCTTAATGCCAGCACCATCTGTGACTACATGACCTTCATGATCTCCACAGAACTTTTCTCAAATATCACTTACCACTTCATGCTGTACAGCAAAGGAAAACATTTCATCTCTTGCTGTTGGATCTTCTGCTGTGATGATTGTCAGTAATGTGTATGTGTGTGTGTGTATCTGTAACAGGCTGAGCTATGCACTGGATCAAATGCTCTTTAAGGCCATCTACTTATCTTATGCCAAAAGACAAACATTCCTATAAGTCCAAAAGAAAAATTAACATTTTCTTTGGATGAGAGAAGAAATATTAGAAACAAATGCTTATCTTAAACACTTTTGTTTTATTTATTTTTAAATTTCCAAGCAGAGTGTGGTTAATTCCTACTGCAGGGATGGAGACTGTGTGACTTTCCAGAGGTTGTTGAATTAAAATGCTCAGAGGTCCTAGCCAGTGTAGCCAATGATAAAGACTGGTGGGAGTTGTTATTCATCAACATCTGGAGGGCCACATAATTATCTCCCCCACCCCATTCTATTGGTTTGTCTCAGATGGAGTAGATTCATAGCTGATAGGGTGTCAACATGGTTAGACTCAAATAGTGGAGACTCACTGAGTCATGGAGACTCACTGAACCCATGAGATTTGCCATTAGCTCAATGAGTCTCCACTAACTGGGACTAACCATTGGATTTACATCTGTACTGAAAACAGCAGATTCTTACAACAGGCTGCCAAACTGTTAATACCAATAGCAATAGGGCCACAAGCAATGTCATGTTTATTGAGTCTCATAGCATTATACTGTCTGTATTTCTTTCTCCATGTTTCAGTAATTTTTTAAAATGTAAAAACTCCTTCTAAGGTCTCAAACTGTAGCATACTCAGATTGCATTCAAATTTGGCATCAGATGTCCAATGGGAGTAACTGTTTCAATATCTCCATTCCTCTATGGTGCTTCCAGTCCAACCCACCCCCAAAATCCATAATGTTCTGTCCTCAGGCCAAACACAATTTATATTAAACACATAGTAATTCATCTGTTGAGAGCCAATGTGGTTTCAGTGTTGGAGTCAGAATCTGGGAAACCAGGTTATGAATTACAAGTCAGCCATGGAAATTCCCTAGGTGACCTTAGGCAAGTCATACATTATCAGTTTTACAGGAAAACAATAGCAAATCTACTGTGAAAAATCTTGCCCAGAAAATCCTAGGAGGATGTTGTCATAAGTTGAAATTGAAGTGAAGGCACATAACAACAGCAGGTTCATCTATTGAGGTGGAGTGGACAATGGCATTACAGAATGCACAGTGAATGGGGAAGGGCCTGCCAACTTGTTATATCAGAAGTGAGCAAAACTGGGGGGAAACTTCATAAAGTAGTGGAACATGTGGAAGTATGAAATGAAATGGGTTTTGCTTCCATTCTTCCTACACATTGTTTACTATTAAATCCTATGTTCCTGCTTGATAGGTAAACAGGACTGTATGTTGAATGAGAAGGTGTGAATCTGGTTTAGCTTTTCCTCCCATTTCAAACTCCAAAACTGCAACAACCATGTTTCTGTGCCCATCCCACTCCACCCTCTATTTCAATTTAAGTGTGTGACCTTTCTAGACCCAGAGCTGTGGGAGACCAAGGGAGGCCTGGCCACAACAAACAATCCTCTGGCCTCCTCTCTCAGAACAGGGGCAGAATAGTCAACAGTCACATTGGACTATGGTTACCCTGCCAGTGTGCATATTAACCTTCATAGAGATTGTGGAGCCAATTATGTCTGTCAGACATAATTACACTGTATGCCACCTTATCTACTTTTCATTGAACAATTTTGGCCACCCCGAGATGTTCTGGCAATGGACCTGGGTGTTATGAAGGGGCAGAGGCAAGACATTTCTACTCATATACTCATATTCATGGGTCATTATCCAGTCAATCCCAAGAGTTAAGGAACACTTTGAATTAGATGGAAAGTGGCTTTGGGCAGTCATCCTTAAGAAAGACCTCCTACTCAAACAAGGAGCCCATGAGTGCTTAGGGCCTCCTCAAAGCATAATATTGCAAAGCATAATAATCAAATCTAGTACTGGAAAGTTAAATGAAGTTAGACAAATGAATCATCAGGAACAAATGGCATACCAATAGACCTCTTTCAAGCTACAGAGATGGAGTGTATTCAAATTCTAACTAAAATCTGACAAAAATATGGGAAACAATACAATCTCCCACAGACTGGAAATATCAATATACTTTCAATATACAATATACCAAAGGAGTTTATCACATGGGAAGGAAGTGCCCAAATCCCATGGATAAATGGGATTTGAATCCAGGATATTCTGGAAAAGAGGTATTGTTTTCAGATGGCATTGGGCTAATTGAGTATTAACGTGACATTAACTCATGCAGAAAGTCACAAAACCATGCCACTTTTTACTTTTTGGAAAATCCTGAAAGTAAAAAGC